GAAGGTGAACGTGTATTTACTGCCTTGTTGCAAACCGAGTTTGCTGGAGAAGGAAAGCTGGGGCACGGCCCGCAACTCCATTGACATGCTGAAGAAAGACCTGGAGGATAGTGAAGCAGGAGAGCAGGAGCAAGAGACAATGGAATGACGGATGAGAAACTTAATTGTCTTTGTGCGCTAAAACTTGTACCAATCAACTAAGCTTGATTATTGAAACTGTTAAACTTTTTGTTTTGTTGTAGTTTGGTTAAACCAGGCTTTGAGGATTGCTAAATTGTTGCAATTGTTGAACAAAAATGAAAATTTTAGTTGATGCTTTTTACACATATAAATATATACAGAGCATAGGTGAGTATATTTACCTATTTAAACCCGACTGAAGTTTCTAACCTGTGTAAGACACATATTCACTGTGTGGCGACCTGGTAGGGTTTGGGTACGCTCGCTCGAAGAGGGTGGGTACCTCATTACCTTTCCTAGCCACAGAGTTTTTAGTTTTAATATTGAGGAAAACGCATAAATGAATGATTATACTTGGCGAGTGACATTAATTTAATTTTAACGGGTGCGTCGCCGTGCCACGTCCCAATTTTTTAATCGGCAAGAGCGAGAAAAAATTTTATGGGGGAATGACGTGAGTAGTCAGACAAGAAGTTTTATCTAGGACACTCCTCATAGTGCAAAATTTGTGAAAATGTTGAAAGGCAGTGAAATGTAGTACGATGCCATTTATGACACGCAGTGAGTTGAGGTGGAGTAGATAATTTTCATTTTCTAATGCGATTTGTAAAATTTATTATAGAGAACTGGAACACTACTTGACGATAACCCTTAGTTATGCGATCAATGGGGACATTGAAGGGAACCGTCCGGGGAGTATGTGCCATTACCCCGGATTGGCAGAGCGGAACTTTCCGTCGCAGCACGAAAACGACATTAGAGGCCTTGGTTGTCATGTATTGATGTGAAGGAGGCAAGAATTTTGTAGAGGAAAATTTTTAGAAAAATTCGAATTGCGGCGTTACATTTCTGAGAAATGCAAAAACGGCCATGTTTAGCCGGAAAATAGAAGAAAAACACAACAACAATCGAATTTGCGAGAGACAGGCGGTCAAGAAAATTGACAGAAAAAAGCGAAGCCTCTTAGCGTGACGATCACGCACGATAAGTCACTTAACTGAAGTATTTAGCCAGAAAGGAGGCTTCAACGACGTTATTACTGGAAGAGCGCGGAAGCGGAGGCTCGGCCCCCAGAGGCTGAAATACGGCGAAATACTAGAGTAAACTAACTTTTGAGCTACTCTGATGTCCTAAGCATTTGAATTAACACCGGTATTATTTGTTAATTTAGAATATGAGTAGCTAGAAAGAGGAAAGGGTCAATCCATCTCCAATGGATTTAATATAGAACTGTCACCAAAAACATAGTAAAATAGGACATTCAAGCCGTGTTTTTAATGATAGTCATGTAGTCTTGGGATCCGAGACCCGGCTCTGTGATTATCTTTGCATGTAAACGGAAGCTGATTAAAAGTCGTTTGACTGATGGCCTGAAAATAGTAACTTTTTACTTAGCCCTAAACAGACCAGAAAATTAACTGGCAAGGTCGAGACGGTGAAAAACGAATAGAATTTAGGTAACTGACGCCGGCCAGTCCTCTATAGGTATTTTTTCTACGCTCCGTCACTGTGTAGTATTTGGGCGAATGTTACGAGAACAATGTTCAAAAACAATTGTCCTTGATTTCTAGAACAATTTTCGGTCAACTTTCCTGCAAATAAGATTCGAGTCTTCTGATTTTATTGACTTCTTATTATCGTTGCCGCAATAAACTTGAGCATGACATGGTCGATTTGAGTTTTCCAAAAACACTGTTTCCCCAAAATCAAGGTCAAACGTTAGAATATGACCGACTGGCACAAGTTTCCCAAATTTTCATCATAGCGCTGCAGAAGTTGAACGCAACTACAACAAAACACATAACCGAGTCAGCTTTAAGATCTGAGGAGACAGACAATTAAGCGCTCGACAGAGGAGAAAAATGAGAACAATCAATACTTTTCTCAGCAGAATAATCAGAGTGTTAGTGGAAATAACTGTCCAACTATATAACTTTCTTGGCCAACTACAGGAGAGAGTTTACATCTGATTGAATGCTGGCAAGGTTGCATGACGTTAACTTGACATCATCAGCAAAAAGATAAGGCACGGTAACAAAGCACTGGTCAGGTAAATTGTTAATAAAATTACGGAACAGTATAGGCCCCCGAATAGAGCCTTGAGGTACGCCGCTCCGAATGTTTACCTGATTGTGATTTTATCCCATTTACCATCATATATTGGGTTCTACCGGATAACTAGGAATGAAAAAGGCGCAAAAGGCTACCATCGACTCCGAGAGATTGAAGTTTGTGGAGCAGGAGGGTATGGGACACTTTATCAAACGCCTTTGAGAAGTCGAGATATAGACTATAAGCTGTTTCCCCGTTGTCAGTCGTTTGATAAAGCGAATGCACGTATCGTAGCAGCTGAGTAGCCGTGGATCGCTAATTTAGAAAGCGCGATTGATGAGAAGTGACTTGTTTTGTACATATGGAAAAAGTTTGTTGTATAGAACTTGCTCAAAAACAAGTGATGGTTTAGACAAAAAACTGATCGGCCGATAGCTAATTACCTGTCATTTAACAGAAGACTTTGGAATTGGTACTACTCCCGCAACTTTCCAGGGCTCTGGGAATGTGCTGGAAGAGAGGATATGGCGAAAAAGAGCCAAGAAATGTGGCGAGAGTTCTGTAAAACATTTGCGCAATATGACCCCCGGTATGCGTCTCCACAACCAAGGGTTGCTTTAGACAGTGCAAGTTCAACATCGTCCAAAGAAACTGTAATTTCGTTCAGCTCATTTTCTGAGAAATCATCAAATAAATGGTCATCTTCGTTAAAAATCGATCCAAAGAAAGTGTTGAACCCATTTGCAGTTTCACGAGAATCAGATAGTGGGGCATATGGAGTATCGCGGAACATAGTTTCTGCTATGTCCTAATGGCAGGAAAGTGAGCGCAAAAAATTAAAATAATCATAAAGCGAAGAGTTGGTTTCAGAGAACTTGTCAACATAGGCAATCTTGTCGAGGTCAACCGAGAACGATAAATCGTCTAACATATTCAAATACGTTTGCTTGTTTATATCAGAGGACAATCGTAAATATCGACGCAAAGCCCTACTACGTTTGTTGAAGAGGTGGACACTATGTGAACTGTAAAACGGGGGTAGTATGTTCCGGATATTTCGCTTTAGTGGTACAAATGCCTTAAGTATAAAGAAAAGACATCCGTCCCAATGTTCAAAATAATTCCCATGTGAAGCAGAATCGTAGACTAGTGAAAAGAGGCTTGTGGAAAGTTCGTACTTGAGATTGGGGTAATTTCCAAGCGAAGTACTAAAAGTTTGCCGTGCCGATAAAGATGAGTGTCTCTTGATAGGAGAAGCCGTATAGATAGAGAAGACAATAGAATAATGATCAGAGAAGAACAGCGGGGAAATTGTTTGGACAGATACAAATTTGTTTGAAGTGATCACTAAATCAAGAACATTTTCGGAAGAGTGTACACGCTTGTCGACCAATTGCTTCAAATTTTGTTAAACCAAAAAGTCACAAAAATCCATATCATCTTGATTAACTATCTCTGCGGGGAAGAGAGAGAGACAGCGGGGAAGAGAGAGAATCCCAGTGTATATTTGGTTTATTAAAGTCGCCGCAAATCACAAAGTGCTTGTCGTGGTCTGGTAGTAATCGGAGAAGGCTGATCAGGTCGTAATTTGGTACTCGAAAAACGCTCGTTAGAGGAGGATTATACAGTACAGCTATCACGAGAGACGATTTTCTCAGCTTCAGTTTAACAGCACAGCAGTAATCAACATTGGTGTCAATGCTGCTTGCAGATAAATGCCTCTTTCCCAAGATAATAACCCCGCCATGACTACCGTTCTGGCGGTCCTGCCGAGCCAAGGTAACATAGTTCGAGCATGGAAAACGTTTGTAGAGTTCGAGTCAAACCACCTTTCAGTGACACAGATAACATCCGCATCAGACGTAATTACTAGATTTAACAGATTCAATCGGCGATCAATTGATCGCAGGCTTCTTGCGTTTAGATATAGAACAGTAGTTGAGTTCAGAGATAGTTAATCAAGATCGACAACCAAATCGTTCTTATAAAGTTTAAGTTTTCGGATCTTTAGTTCAGTTTTGGGGACACCCGACTGGATAAGATCATATCGTTTTTTGAGTAGTGCGCGTTCCAATGCACAATCTGCTTCTGAGAGCTCCATAGTTATCAGAAGACCTTTGTTTTTATACAAGTCTTCGCGAATTGCCTTCGATACAAAATCGATTGCGTCAAACTTGGCGCTAAATTTAATGCCGACATTGCGACATCTGCCAGCAATGTAGCGTCCCTTCCGGTAGCAGTCGACGATGGTGCCAGACAGACCCATATTTGTCATTTTGTCCTGTACAGCGGTTTTGTCAGCAAAATGCGGTTGTACATGGGCGTATCAGCTGATGCTTCAGGTAGCCCAGATATACGAACTTTGAAACGATTGGAGTCGTCATTTTGCGGTTTCGATCGCGGTAAAGGTAACATGGTGCCCAGAGTTTTGATCATTAGTCAAGCTGCCCGAGCTTTGGGTATGTGTAATAACAGAAGCGTACGTTTTCTCAAGAAATTGGTCAACTTTATCGTTAATGGTTGATATCATTGGTAGACATGACTTAGCTTCAATTAGCTGACTGAGTGCCTCCCGGAGCAGACACATCAACGAGTCGTTCTTGAGAGATGCCATCATCTTGTTCATCTTCTCCTGGTCAGTGTAGTATAGCTTCGCCAGATCGCCAACGTCGGGGTAGTGGTGAGCAGGTATAGAGGAGCCAGTGGAGTCCGACCGGGAACAAGCAGCTCCAGATACGTCACCATCGTCTCCCATTTCCAATCTCGAAACTATTTAATAAGTGTTTATCACAACAGTTAGCTGAAGTTTACAACTGCAGAATTCTATAACTGCAGAAATTTAATAAGAAACTTACCAATTCCCGTGGAATTCTCTTTAATAATAAAAGTAATAAGACTGCTCGTATCAGGGCGAAGCCCTGAAGGTTCCGACTGACTCTTAACGTTTATAGAGCAGTAATAACATAAACAACATAAAAAAATTAACTGAAACAAAATAAAATGAAAAACTTTTTTTCTAAAATTTGAAAATTTTTGTATGAAAATCATCCCCCACACGCCATATAGCTTCGCCAGATCGCCAACGTATATTTGGCGATCTGGCGAAGCCAAATATACGTTGGCTGTGCATTATAAATTTTTAATGCACGCAGTTTCAGATAAATTTGAATTTCTCGAGGTAGCAATGGTTGCCTCGCTCTAAATGTCAACCAGGAGATATCATATTTTCAAAACATCTTCTTTCAAAACATCTTGTCATTACCTGGAGCCCGTATCGCTGCGGTCAGAGGCTTCCTACCTCCGAAGGACAAATACAATACCATTGTTTTGCTCATTGGGGGAAACGACGATTTTGACGGAAGAGAGCCCTCCACGGTCCCTGAAGAAGATATTGCAAACGAACTCGCAGAATTAGCCGAGGAGCTAAGCAGACTAGCAAAGCAGATTTTTGTCATCGGAATCCCTCGCCGCAGTGAATATCGATTCCGATCGGCGAGAGTGAATCGCGAAATACAGAAAAAGCAGGGAAATTGGAAGTATAGAGGCGTGTGTGAGAAGATTTACAGTACTTACCATCTAGGCAGTGACGAAATTCACTTAAGCCCAGAAGGTCTCAAGAGCATCAAAAGCATCATAAAGAACAATATACTGTACAAGAAAAACTCTGACGCTTTCAACGACGAAGGTCATCTCACCCAGTACGAGTGCACCTTCCGACACTGCCACTGACGTTACTGAGTGTAAGCTGCAGGTTTGTGAGCTTTACTTCCCTCTGTCCTTTCTAGAAATATCAAACTGCAGTCGTCCCCTTTTCGGGATCCACAGGTTTCTATATTTCTCTGACCCCATCGAACGTTCTAGAAATATCAAACCGCAGGCGCCCCCTTTTCGGGATCCACAGGTTTGCATATTTCTCTCAACGCATCGTACCGCAGGCGTCTTTTCTCGGGAATCACAGATCCCTCTGTAAAGTCCCCCTCTGTTAACTCTTCAACAATGAGTCGCACATGCCGAACTTGCACAAGGTCCATACCGAAAGCCGAAAAAAGTTACAACTGTGTAGCGTGTGGTTGTCACATGCATCTAGAACCAACATGCACAGGATTATTAAACGTAGCCATCAACGGAATAAAGGAGCTTGGTCGCAACGCATTGTTACTCTGTAACGTTTGCATTGAAAACAACGAACGCGACAACTTCATTCGGAACAGGACTGTCAACAACCTGGAAGAAAAAATCAACAAAAACAAGTCTAGCAATGCTGAGACACTCGAAACGCAAATTGTCGAAAAAAAATAAACGAAGCAATGAGGAAAATACACGACAAAGTAGACGAGAGTTACGCAAACGTCGTGAAGAAGTTGAAAGCTACATAAACGTGAATAGTCCTCAAAACTCCAAAAACAACAACAACACAACGACTCACAGCATCGAACACAATGTAAGAGTGCAAGGGATCCATGAAGATCCTAATAAACCACGCGACGTGAATCTTGTCCAAACTCACGAAAAACTAGAGGAAATTTTGGGAACAATAGGAGTTAAACCGAAAATAGTCCAGTTTAAAAGACTTGGAACATTCAACAAAGAAAGGAAAAAGCCTAGAACACTTCTAGTTACGCTTGAAAATTCAGCAGCAGTCATTTTAGTGATTGCAAAAAGTACTGAAAAAAGAGACAAAATGAAAGAAATGAATATATTTCTGTCACGTGCCCTATCTAAAGAAGATTCTATCAAAGAAAACCTCTGCCTGAAACGACGTAGGGAAATGCTTGAAGAAGGCGTACCACGTGAAAAACGGAAAGTAAGAAACCTTGAGCTTTTCCATGATGGAGCAAAAGTTCAATTAAACCAAACTTCCCAGCCAGAACAAGAAAATGCAACATCCAACATTTGACTAGATCATTTCCACATTTTACATTTATATGCACGCAGTTTAGTTAACTATGAAAGAAGATTCAAAATGGCAAAGGCAAAAAAAATTGGTTTGTACAGCGTTATTTGTATTTGTGAGACCTGGTTGAACAAAAATATCTCAAACTCTGAACTACTACTTGCTGAATACAACATTTACCGAGCAGATAGAGCACATCAGTCGTCTAACACTCACGGAGGTGCCCTGATTGCCATTAGGAACTCACTAAATTCCCAAAAAATAAAACACGACGTCGAATGTTGGGTCCTATGTAACATAACCCTAGCAAACGAAATCATCTATATATGCTCCTTTTACAACCCCCTAGAGCCAGTCAATACAGATATGACTACCAATGTTTCAACAAAATTCTCGAAGCCATCCCTTAAAAGAGTAAAGCAGTCATATGTGGAGACATTAACTTTCCATCTACAAACTGGGACATCTTCAGCAGTCAAGAAAACGATGAACAAGAAATACTAGAAATGTTAGAAGATAGGCTTCTTCAACAGAGCATTAACTTTCCGACCTGCGGCACAAACACGTTGGACGTTTTTCTGTATCAAAACTGTCAAGTATACTCTGAACACGATGAAAATTTTGATAAGATCTATGACTGCTCTGACCATATTGCAATCAGAACAGCAATAGAACTTGAACATTTCGATCCTCCCCCAGCAATGACAAACTTCTACAGTTTTGGGTCAGGAGATTATGACCGGATTGTTGGTGCCATGAAAGATCGGCCCTTCAACCCCCAATGCTACACCAATGTTGACAATATGTACAACGAACTTCAAGACTACTTAACCGACTTGATAGACACTCACATCCCAAAAAGAACCAATTATCGTCAATTGCTACCACCTTGGATTACACCGAGTACATCACATCAGATGAAAATGCTCAACACGCAAAAGAGGTTACTCGAAAAACGACCAACTAGCTACCGAAAAAATAAGGTCCTCAAACTAGAAAGCCAAATCACTGAATTATATGAACATGATCGAATCTCATACCAAGAAAAAATTTTTGGTTCAAGAAACTGTGGTCAAATTTACAAGCACCTTAAGCATATCAATAGAGCTTCGAACATCCCGAAAACGATCAAGTTCAAAGACAAAATGACATCAATTCCAGAAGAAAAGGTAGAAATGTTTAACACATTTTTTCACTCAGTGTTTTCAGCCAAAGAGAACTACAACTTCCTTGACATAAAGTGCAAATCACCAACCCTAACAGACTTCAGCGTTTCAAACAAAACAATAAGTAATATTCTGGCAAATATAGACACTACAAAAACTCGTGGACCAAATGGAATACCTCCCGGGTTTTACCAACGATGCGGCAAACAAATGAGTAATATACTCATTAAGCTTTTCAAGAATATTAAACGCATACGCAAAATGCCAACGAGTTGGAAAACAGCGGCTGTAACACCCATTCACAAAAAGAACGACCCTAAAGATGTTGAAAACTATCGCCCAATCTCCCTTCTAAACATTGACAGCAAAATCTTTGAAAAATGCATGTACTCTTCACTCTACGAGCACTTTAAAGACAATCTTTCCATAAACCAACACGGTTTTGTGGAGAAACGCTCCGTTATGAGCAACATGCTCCAATTCCTAAATCGAATCTACAAAGCCCTGGATGAAAATCCACATGATGAGATCATTGCTTTTTATGCTGATTTCTCCAAGGCCTTCGATAAAGTCCCCCACAAATTATTACTCCGAAAATTGAGTGATATTGGTGTAGGTGGATGCCTACTCGAAATCATCTACGACTATATCAAAAACCGAAGGCAATTTGTTCGGGTTGATTTCTACACATCCACCGTCCTCGAAATAACCAGCGGGGTACCCCAAGGTTCACTCCTCGGCCCACTCCTGTTCTGTGTTTTTATAAATGATCTCCCTGAAGTCCTACGCTTCAGTGACCCCTCAATATTTGCTGATGATCTAAAAATTCTATCTGTTGGACGCAAACAAGATGAAATACAACTTGACTTAAAGAAAATCGAAGATTGGGTTAGACAAAACAACATGGAACTGGCATTCGAAAAATGCGCTCTAATAAACTTCAGAGGTGTTGATATAAATCTATTTTTGAACGGAAATCGTCTACCTCAGCCAAAATCTATAAAATATCTGGGTATTCACATGCTAGGAAATCTTAGTTGGAGCACTCATCTAACCGAACGATTAAAGAAAGCAGACAAATTACTATACAGTCTAAGACGAAATGTAGCATATAACGTCAACACCTTTGTAAAACTAGGTCTCTACAAATCAATATTACTACCAGTCCTAACCTACGGCTGTCACTGTGCAAACTTTCTGAGAAAAGACCTACAAACTTGAATTTTTTCAAAAGAAAGCAGTAAAGTGGATATATGGAAAACACTGCCAAAAATACACTGATCAACTTAGAATGCTGAACATTTTACCTCTGCCAATGTTCCCTCAGACCAATGACTTACTTTTGCTTTCAAAACTCTGCACTGACTACGAACACCACAGCATCCCACTTCCCACAGCTAACAAGACCCTAGACCGACGATTAGAGCCCTTCAAATTACCCAAAACTCGAACAGAAAAACGCAGGGGAGAATTCGTTTTTCGTACAACCAGAGTTGCAAATAGAATTGATCATTTAGTCAATTTCAGGATAGAACAGGGACTCAAACAGCGCATCACAATTCTTATGTGGAAATTCTACACTGAAAAATACAGTAACCTCAACCTCTGCACTTGGCAGATATGCTGCGACTGAACAACGTGCAAAAATAACTGGACAATATTATAAACTCTGTGGAAGAAATTCCCACCAGTATTCTACTGGAAAGCCACAACAACAACAACAACATATAAAGTACAAAACAATAGATTTTGCTCCTTGTAACAAATCAATTATGGCAAATAAGCTTCTTTCAACAATTTCTAAGACGGATTACATCTCCGCTTACGCGTTAATAGCGCGAATTATATCGCGAGTTAATTGTCCCAAATGGCAATATTTAAACCCTCATAACTTTACAAAAAATGATCACAGGTAAAATATCTTTTCAAATTTAAGCTCAGGACAACAATAGCTTTCGAATGATATAAAAAAATTCCGTCAAAAATGGCTAGTCATAAAATCGAAATTTGTCTGTAGAAAAAAAAACCCACCCCGAGCACAAATATTCCGTTACTTTCGTATTGAAAGTCGGAACAATAATAAATGGAGGAAATTGGTCAAGGCAAAACCAAAGCAACTGGTACGGGCTTTTATGTGGATTGTTTGGTGCTTCAATAATTTTCGTTTCAGGAAAAATGATACCGCATTTTTTTTAAAGTTCCATTTCAGTTTATTTTACTTAAAAGCAGGCGAATTGTGAATTTCTAGCGAATTGGGTCTGAGTTCATGTTCGTGATGTTGCGCGGTTGATCTGAAAGTTATAGAGTACTTGCTATACTGAACCAATCATTCTATTAAAATTATATCTAAATTTGTTTTCACTGTAGTAATTGCTCTGTTTGCTTTTATTGGTGTTCTGCTTTATTACGAATGCGCAAATGGTGCGAAAAAAACTTGATATATTTGCAGCTTCAAAAGTTCGTACTGGAGGTTCGTACTTTAAACACCTGCACTAATATTGCCGTAGATACTACTAACAGCCATCCCAGCAGACCCTTGGTAATTGATAATCCTGGAGTGATCTTCGATGAAACAAATAAAATCTCGAGTGAGGCTAGATAATTTCTTAACAGCTCAGCTCTGGCTATTCGCCACTCCTAAAAATTTATGACCATTGACCTAAAAGTGGCTAATAAGTGCACTGTTTCTAGTTAAGCACGCCATAACGCGCAACGTTTTTTAAACTGTCCTGGTAGACCAACTGTTCTGAATATCATCATTCTATTACTGAAAGTCTTCGTGTAGGTGATTACCTTCAGCTCACACAGCTCGTAGTAGCGGTAGAGCTAGCCTACCTCCAAGAAACAATTCGGAATCGGTAAGAGTCCACGTGGCTTCAGCAATAACAGCAGGCTTGAAAGTAGTTTTTAGTTCTCAGCAAATTATAAATCGCCGATGAACCCAGTTTTTGTTTGTTTTTGTCAATCATAAAAATTGTCTATCATGAAAAGTATTCATGATATTAAATCAGCTCTAACGCGATAAGAAATATTTGAAAAAGTCAGTTGCGTATGTTTGAATTCCTTTTTTGTTTGTTTCAGTCGATAAGTATAAAGTGACGGCAAATTTCGCTCTCCAATTATAGTAAGGCGGGGAAAATTAAGCTTGAAATATATTGTCAGAAAGTGTTTTTGTTCCGACTTTCGATACGAAAGTAACGGAATATTTGTGCTCGGGTGGGTTTTTTTTCTTCAGACAAATTTCGACTTTTTAACTAGCCATGTTTGACGGATTTTTTAATATCATTCAAAAGGTATTGTTGTCCTGAGCTTAAATTTGAAAAGATATTTCACCTGTGATAATTTTTCGTAAAGTTATGAGGGTTTAAAGATTGCCATTTTGGGACAATTAAGGCGCGATATAATTCGCGCTATTAACGCGTAAGCGGAGATTTAATCCGTCTCATAAATCGTTCCAAATTGGTTGAACGAAACTTAATTGATTTGTTACAAGGAACGAAATCTATCTTTTTTTACTTTATATGGCGTGTGGGGGGATGATTTTCATAAAAAATTTCAAATTTTAGAAAAAAAAAAGTTTTCATTTAATTTTATTTCATTTAATTTTTTTATGTTATTACTGCTGCTCCATAAACCTTAAAAGGCAGTCGGAACATTCAGGGCTTTGCCCTGATACGAGCAGTCTTGTTACTTTTTGCTTTTCCCTGCGGAATAGAAAAATTTTCTTTTGATCTAATTTTTCCGAATGGTTCCGTTTTGAGAAGACTTAATTTTTTCACCGTAAACAACGGTCTCAGATTTCGCTCGTGAAAATGTTATACGCGTGTTGCTTACTTTTTGATAAATTCAAAATCAAGCAGGGTTATATTCAAAATCAAGCTCCAATTGCAGAGATCGACACACTGACCTCTCGGGACTCAATTGACTTGATTTATCTACGGGACTAACAGTCCCCTCATTTACGTTGTAAATGTAAATCCCATATAATAATAATAATAATATGCACTTGGCGCAGTGTTTACACCTATACTTGGTAAGACAAAAACCGATGCCAGTCGTGACCTCCTTTTTTGCCAACTAAATTTTTTCGACTAGTCTAGACTATCGTCTGTATATATTTTTTGTCGGCGTAGTTCACATAGGACTTTTTTGAGGATTCGATTTCTTTCTGGCATTCCGAAATCTCCTTGTAATGGTGCAGATAATTTTGCTCCAGGATTTTGTCGGCGTTTAATGCAATTTTGTAAAGTTTTGTCAAAAAAGCTATTTTTTTATTTGCCTTTTCATGTGCTTTTTATCATAGTCATTCATTTTGTATCCCAAGTGGTGCGAAGCTCAACTTCGCCTCTATGTTAATTTTATGTGTTTTTAACTCTTTTTTGTCGGTGAAAGAGTTTTTCTCTGATTTTGAAATGCTTTCTGAAAGCCGGCTACGTAGGAAGTTTGTGCAATTGTTTCAACTTTCATTTTCAGCTTATATATTTTTCTGAGCTCATGACAAAACGATCCGTGAGAGCAATTTTTTTAAATAAATCAATTTTTAGCAAAGTAGAAAGCCATTAATAACAAAATTAATGATTAATGAAAATCAATAAATTACTAGTCCATAGGAACATCTTGAGGCTCGTCAATCTTCTTGACATTAGGGTGTGCGATTTGCACATGTTCATCCAACTGAGAAGCTGCATCAGCTTGAAATGTGCAAAACAAACAGGGAAAGTGTCTCTCCAAGTTGTGAAATTTAATCATATGCCGTGAACAATTGTAGCGATATGTGAAGCTTGCGTCGCAGTATTTGCATACATAGGGTCGATGTAAGTTGTGGTACTTTATATGACGACTGAGTGAAGCCGCGACACTGAATCGTTTTGGGCATATATTGCACTGGAATTTCCCATCGCCGTCTTTGTTAAAGGCGACTGGGCTTATAGTGGGTGGTATATTTATACCAATAGTTGGGTGGCCATTCGGAGCGATTATTCCGCAGTTGCTTTGCGCAAATAAATTAACATTTGGAACGGCAGGAATGAAAGGGAACTGGTGACCCTCAATTGACCTCCGATTCGTGACTGGGTAATATTGGGGATCTAGCTGAGGTTTTCGGTCATTGAACTCATTTGAAGATAGTTTAGGTCGCTTTGAAGGCGGTCTATGTGACTGTAAGTGCATGTTCAAATTGTCAACTGTTTCGAACGATAACTGACAATCATTGCAATTGAATTTCTTTTCATTGTCTTTCTGTTTGCTCATTTCAGCTATGCTTTTCAGCCACTGAAAACCAGAAACCCAGGTGTTGCTTTGCTGAGCGAGGGATCGGTTTGTCTGTCCGGATCCATAGGAAGAGCTCAAAGAAAGATCCAAAGGCTGGTCGGAAAGATCTGCTGGATGGTCTATTTCTTCCTCATGCTTCGCCTGTTGTTCTTGCTCTTGTTGACCAGATACAGACAAATCCAGTGGTTCTTGTTGAGTTTCTGGATCGTTTTTCATTCGTATATTTTCTCGCTGAATCTGCATTGCGTGGTATTGAGTAGGGTTGGTAGTTCGGGGTACATTTTGTAAGGCGATCATGTAGTTGCTCCAATTCGACTGGGGCTGGAATACTGGCATATAAGGGTGCCATATTGTGCCATTTGGTGTGTTAGAAGCCAAGACTCTGGGAGCTCCGTGCATGTGGGTGAAATTGACACTCCTGGGTTGTTGGTGTCTTACTGCGAGTAATCCTGGATGATGCGTCATCTGAGGTCTAGCAGGCTCTGGTTGTCTCGCCGGTTCTTGTTTTATTACTTGAGGTTGCATGAACTGTTTGACGGTGCTTCGAACAATACTTTCAGCACTAGCGTAGGAACTAGGCGATACTTTTTGCTGATTTTGGAACTCGTAATTAACTTTCGAAAGTTTGCGGCTGTGAGTTTTCGGTTTCTTTGGGGGTGCTGTGGTTTTTGGGGGTAGAGTTGGATGATTTTCCTCTTTCTGATTAGTTTTGAGCTCCTGCTGAATTTGGATCTCGCTGTTTTCAAGTTTAGCAATCGACCAGACTGTGTTTTGTGGTTGTTCTTGGGGCTTTTCTTTTTCAATTGGAATCTCAACCTTAACGTTCAACTCGGCGGCGGCAGTTGCTCGTGATATCAATCGTGAGATTTCATTATCGTTGTCCTCTTCGCTCTTAATGTCCATTGCAGTTTCTTCCGTTACCATCTCGGGAGATTCTTCCGTTTTCCGAGTGCGGTGAATCATAAAGTTATGCATGCGGAGTCCTTTGCTGTTTTTGAACATCATTCCGCAAAGCGAACAGCAATGGTCGCTTTCTTCTGCCTCTTTACTAGCTGCAGAGCTAATTGGAATTCCGGCAGCGTGAAAAGCCGTGCTATGAATTTTCATGTGTCTAGATAAGTTACCGCTTGTTGTGAAAGCGGCCGAACAAACGGAACATTTGTACGGTTTTAACCCGCTGTGTACAAGGCCGTGTCTCGCTAGAGAGCATTTGGAGCTTAGATGTTTCCCGCAGATGTTGCACACATAGTTTTTCTTGAAGGATAAATCAGTTAGACCAGAAGCAGCCATCATGGCTGATTGGACAATTTCAATCTCACTCTCTTTGCTGTGTCTTTTGAGATGTAAGCTGAATCCTTGCTTTGAGTAGGTGAAGAAACTGCACAAGGGGCAATAGAATACACCAGGTTGCGGTTCCGTCTTCTTTGGCAGGGGTGTCCGTTTACTAGGAGTCGTTTCAGTTGGGGTTCCGTTTTCAGCAGGTGCTGGTTGAACGATGGTATAGTGCTCTGATTCTGATGAAGGCGGAGGTTGGATTTCGGAATCATCCGTATCTGACGGGTGGTCGCCTTCAGTAGTTGGAGGTGTGTCGTTTTCAGTTGGTTCTATTGAAAGTAGAGCATCGTTTTGTTGTTGTTTCAGCCATTGTTCAACTAGTTCGCCAGTATCCATTTCGTCTCCGAACTGAAACAAGGCGTGGCACATTAAGGTTGAGTTAATTTGATTCCCCAAATTTTTCTTTAGAACATTGCTTTCTTTAGATTGTGCTACCACTCAATTGAAGTAGGGATAGAAGCGCCTAGTTAAGACTACTGAATTAGAAAGAATTGTACTTACTTATTTTCGAGAGTTTTCAATATTTTTAAAGCATTTACAGCTATTGCTAGTTTTAACTTCAGCTCACTGTGCTTAAGTGGTTTTAAGTTTTTTTACGGCCGAGAATTAAACAATGATGAGGCTTTTGTCTAGCTAGACCGTTGTTCTTTTAACAGCCATGAAGAGATGACAAAAAAGAGAACGCATCTGAGTCTAACTTACTCGATCTACTTGGCTGCTAGTTTCATCAGCTTCATTTTCTTCGTGTTCTTTATCTGCTAGTGATGACGTCATCTTATTAGTATTAGTAGGATGGGCATCATCTGTGAGCTTGAATTCGGCGGTGAAGGTTTCTTCTTGGCTCTTGCCTGTTGTCGGCTCCTCAAGATTAGTGAGACTTCGATTACCTGTTGTAGATCCAGTAGGACTGTATCCACTCATGCGTGACTGCATATTGGCCACATCTGGGAAAAGTAAAAACCTTTTTGAAGTAAAACTAGGAAAAGAAAAGAAAATTAAATTAAATTAGTTTTTCTATATTAAAGTAGTTTTTCCAGTTATGCGTCTGCGACAATAAAAGATAGCTAGAGATACAGAAATTGAAACAGTCCAATTTCGAAAGTCTAACAGTCGAAATAGTCGATTACATTTTTTTAATTGCAACTCACCGAAATGTGAAGACTCGATTAGGGTTTCGTTCATTCTTCCCAAGTAAAGACTATATTAATCTCAAATTTTCGTGCGACAACAAAATTTTAGTAGGTGTCTTGAGACAAAACTCCAATAGCCTATCTTTGAAGCCAAGTTTCGAAGACTTTCGTTCGGACTGGCAATGATGTTTTCTGACAACTGGTCGCAATAAGTTGTTTGTTAGTCAGCTGTGACTAGTTGCTGTGGCTGTAAATTGGTACTACGAAGTTGACCTTTGTATCGGTGATAATGCTTAAAAGTTGGTTTAATAGTAGAAGCTACCAATTCACGACACATATAATTTAGAAAATAAAGAATGTGGAAGTTGGGAATTTAAATGCTGTATCCGCTGCGTTTGCGATTGTTTTGTTTCGTTGAACCCGCGCTTCTTATCAGTGCGGTTTCCTTATTTACCACCCTTATGTATTTGTGGAAATTTCAGTTCAGGTAAAGATAGAAGTAATGGGCTAACTAATAATGTGGGAAGTTTTGGGTATTTCTAGTTTGAGGCGCTCCACTTGGTTTGCTGGAAAGCTGAGGCTTTATCTCTCAAATACACGGCACCATTTTGGAGTGTAGTAGTAATGCTGTATTTCGCTATGGTTCTCCTAACAAAATATGAGCAGAACTGGCTACTCGCTGTTTCGAAAGGATAAAGAAGCGTTTATGGAAGGGAGAATATAGAACAGAGACGGTGGCACAATGACGAAAGAGGAGAGGATAAATGGTGAACAAATAATAATAGATATATCTAGCGAAGTTTATCGGGTTTGGCTTTCAATCAGGACAACTTCTTGGGGAAGGGTTGCTTATTAGTTTGGTCGGGAGAAGAAATGAATTGAAGTGAACAAAGTATCGTGTCCTCCAAAACTACTTCAGCATTGCACCCTTTGAAGCCTTTTTACAGCTAAGAGAATCGAATGACGGGTGGTGGTGTTGCGGCAAGGCTAAAATATAGCAGCGTGGGTTCTTTGAGTTATGTGGTTTACTTGCCAGTTTTACCCTCCTTATGCTGTGTATCCTTAGAACAGTTTGGATTCAAAACTGCATTGAAGGGTTTGGCTTGGAAATGAGAATCTGTTTATGTTTCTGGCTTGCCTATCTAGATGGACATGTTTAAAGTGCTAAACTTGAGGAGTATGAATGCTTGCTGGACAACTCCTGAGTATGAAATGAAGCCAAAAGGTTCGTATCAGGTTGGCTAATTCAATTTAAGGAAAAGTGGACCCAAATCAGTGGGAAAATTTACTTATTTGAAATGAGGAGAACCCAATCGATTTGAAGTGACAACTTGTTATTAATGATTTTTATAAGTGAATGTATTTGACTTGTAATAATGAGACTGCTTTCAAATTGTAGGGTGACAATTGTCATGCTGTGCGTCCATTATTAATTAGAACTAAGTAGCTTATCATCACACGCGCATCTTTTGAGGATTAGCGCTTACTCGTCCATTTCAGCCGAGGCGTTTCAAAATAAACAGTGGGATTTAATTTTAATTGCAATTTTGACATCTTTTCATAAGAATTGTTAAGTCTAATCCGACCTTTGAAAAGCAGGGATAAACTAAAAACGTATCGTAGGGTTGAAAAGAAGGATTAGAGACTTCTTGGTTTCGTTGAACGTACATTAAACGTACATCTCTTTCTAGATAAAGCACTCCGATATCATGCCTGACTTGGTCCGTTTACACATGCCAGTACAGTTACGTAATTGTTCTGACCACTCTCGAAAGATTGGCTGGGAAGGAGCTATTGCGTACGGTATTTTTTTTGCCCAATATTAGGTACTTCAGTGAAAGTTTGTTGGATGTCACGCGTGCTATCACATTGAAGCTCTTTCAGTCAGATTCCAAAATGATCTTTCAATAAAGTGCTTTAAGTGTAAAAAAAAACTGGCCCGAAGACTAATTTTCACCTGATGACTATTCAATTAATGACTCTTAATTTTAATGTTACCCGTAATTTAGCGATACGAAAAAATGTTGAAAAAGTTTTTTCAAAGATTTTAGAAAAAAGTTTGTTCTTGTCTGTTGTTTTGTTTTTCGTTTAATGCCGCGATCGGAACATTGTGCTAATTGCTCAGGAATTGGCTACTCATGTTAGCTTTGAGAGTCGTTGGTTGTCAAATGGGTTTTGGTGGACATCATTGCTCGTTCAGTCAACCTCGCCTGAATATTTCAAAATTGCGTTCAGTTATTTCACACGAGGGCCGCTTTGTCATAGAATTGAAATCTAAATGAGATTCCTTGGTTTTTGTTTAAGTAGTCGGTGACATATTTCATCGGCAAGCAACATTATTGAACCATGGTTGAACTGAAACCTTCAACCAGATGGCTGGTACCTAAAAAGACCCAGTTTCATTATTACAAATTAAGTCTCAGCGTCTCCAAAGTGGATATTGGTCGTTTTCAGATTTCGATTGATATCCAAGAATGTCTGGAAGAGCGCCTGGTGCAATAAAGAAGGTCAAGGCCAAGCCCATCTCCAGGTCCCAGAGGGCGGGTGTGCTATTCCCAGTGAGCAGATTCAGAAGATATCTTAAAGACCTGCTGAAGAAGTTCAGAATAGGAGTGGGAGCCAGTGTTTATCTAGCAGCTGTTATTGAATACCTAACAGGTAAAGGGTCATTGTTAGTGAATATGATTAAACATGAGTCTTGACGAACAATTTATCATCTTATCAATGCCTTAATCTCTGGTACGTTTTAATCTGACACGTTTTTTTTCCATGTTGTCCTTGTCCATAATGGCTAGCTTGATTATGGGTGTTGTATCCAACAAATCGGTAATTTCAATATTTTGATGACTGGATATCATCAGGAACAATTAATTCACGTGGCGGTTTTTTTCAGACTATTTCAGCTCGTTTTTTCTCAATTTTTAAGATATATATGGGCTTGTTTGTGATTATTTTCAGCTAGTTTTTTTCTCATCAAAGACAAGATCGTGGTTGCAACTACTCAGACTGAAGTGTGGAAAATAAAAACGATCTTTATTCACGATTTTTTGGCGAAAGTAGTTTTCGAACTTCCGCCTAAATAGGCCACCTATTCTAGCATTATCCAGCATAAGTTTATTGTTCCTGGATATCGTCGAAATTGATGGATAGAACTAAAATTGTGGGTGATTTCTTTCTTGTGAATGTTACTGTGTAAGCTTCACGTTGTTCTGTCTGGAGTAAGAAGTATTTAGTCTATTAAGATAGTTCCCCATTTTAGCCGAAGTGTTGGAGTTGGCTGGCAATGCTTCCAGAGACAATAAGCGCAAACGAGTGATTCCCAGGCACATCCTGCTTGCCATAGCCAATGACGAAGAGCTACACGAGGTAAGGCCACTCAGTCTTCGAAAGATCACCTAAAGAGACAAAATGCTATATGCTTTTTTGCTCGAATTACTCAATGAAAGAATCATTCGGCATGACGATCTGAATGTTCACTGTAGTTTTCTTCTGCTAATTTACCAATTTTCTGAATCTAAATCTTAACTATCGTAGATAGACAAAATAATTATTGGGGAGTTCGGCTGTCCATAAAAAGGAAACCTTCGTGTTTTTTCTTTCAGCTTTTGAAACATGTCACAATCCCCCAGGCAGGAGTCCTGCCACGAATCCACCCGGAGCTCCTGCAGAAGAAGAAAGGGTCCAGCTCCTCTTCCAAACCAGCAGCTGACACTAGTAGTGCCAAGATCAATGGAGTAGCATCAGCTTCTAAATCAGGGCCAAAAACGGCAGCCAGTAAGCAAAAGGCGGCCGAGAAGGTCTATGATATTGCAAATGTGGACAAGGCCGCACCCAAATCACCAGGACCCAAAACACCGACCGGAGCAGCTAAAGTAAGTCGGCCGGGATTTTTGGAACAGTGATTTTTTGCGATTACCAAAATGAAAGTTTTGATTACCTCTCCTCTTTTTTCTTATATATTCACATGCGAACGAGACACTCACATTTGGACCTGGTTTAAAGACTTTTTCTGGATAAGTAAAATAATAATTTTTTATCGTTTCGTTGTTCTGTCTCTGTTAAATGCAGAAGCAAGAGGAGGATACACTTAAGTTACTAGACAAAATCGACGCAGGTGACAGAAGTTGCATCCATTGTCTGTTAATATTTTGTGTTGCTATCCTTAGGTTATGCGAAGTAAAAAATCGCCTGTGTTCAGTTTAAGTCTTAAAACTTCAGTTTGAATTGTTCTCTTAAATACCCAATCAAACGCTTCCGCAATACTACGAGATCTTTTTTTTTTCAATTTAATTTGCACAATTTGGCGATCAAGCTTTGCTTTCAATTTCAGTATCACTATACTGCTCAAATTTGTTGGGCGAGAGCAGTTAAGTATTTGCTTTTAGAGGTATTTGCTATTAGATGATCTGTTACCTAGACAAGAAAGCAAGGGGAATACGTCTGTGGGGTAGGCGAATGACTCGTTAACTGGATGAGCGTGTTCAAATTTTGTAGACTGCTATTTTTTCATAATGACCGAACGGTTTTAGCTAGCTCTTCGAAACCGCCCCAATCCCGAATTTTTTGTTTCGATTTTTGAAGAAAGTGCATTTTCTCCAGAGAAATTTCTACAGACTTTAGCTAACCATTTTTTGCAGATTTTGTTACCGCTTGAAAGGTAAAGATGTCCTGAGCTCAAAATTGTTTAGATAATTCACCTAAATTCATTTTTCGAGAAGTAATGGGGGTTTGAAAATAGCCGAATAATGGGGGTTTGAAAATAGCCAATGTGGGATAATTAACGCGCGAAATCATTGTTCTAGCGGCGAAATAATCCGGCTTAGAAATTGTTGCAAATTAAGTTGAGGCAGGCTATTTTAATCTAAAAATTACGTTGTTATACACGAAATATATCATCTGTTGGTGAGATGTTTCAATAGGTGGCAGGATGAAGTTAAATAGTTGAATCGGAGGCTGAGCAAAAAGCAGAATGGTCCAAGAGCAAAATTGGTCCAAGAGCAGAAAAACAGAAAAAAATTATTATTTTTTTATTAATACGGGCTAATTGATAAAACAAGTATTATAATCGTCAATAATACCAAGAAAACGAATAAAATATGCATGAATTGAATGATTTCATCAAGTTTTTCTGAACAAAATTTTAAAAAAATTTCGATTAAATTATTCAAATTATGCATAAACTATTGCTTCTTTGGTAATAATGACAATTCTTATACTTAACTTACCCATAAGCTTATAAAAATTGATATTTTTCTGCTCTTGGACCTATTCTGCTCATTGACTGGCCACCGTTGAATCGATACTTGTACTTCGAACAGAATTTATAATTTATTTTAAAGCCAAATTTTTTGGCGAAAGAAGTGTGAAATTTGATTTTTTGAATAACGTTTCACCTGGCAGAGTAATGCATTTACAAAAACTATCTTAGTAGCATGTACAATTGAGTGAAAATGAAACGACTATATTATTTCAATTCAATTCAATTATTTGATACAGTGAAGAAATACATACGTAATCACTCACTGCATCAGGATAGCTAGAACAGGCTTTTTAACCTAACAAGTAGCTACCCTCCGGGTTAACTATCACAATTAAGTAACGACAACAGGTAAACAAATCAGAAAAAATTTTCGACCAGCTCTACATTGTCTAAAATGTAATTTCTTTTGAAAACCTTTAAAAATTTTGACAGCTGTTCTTGAGAGTACGTTTCGATCTTATCGGGTAGGAGTTTATTTGACAACAAAACATTGAAACATTTAACAATTTTGCATGAAAGGGAGTTTTGCATAGTTTTTGTCTTACAGCGATGAAACAGAATCATTCCGTTAGAAGTAGAACGTGTATTTCGTTCATAACTATAATTACTGACGTTTAGAAAATCAAGAGGTGAACGTTTTAAATATTGAAAATTGGTTTCTTTAAAAAGTTGAGTTAAATAAATTTCATGAACTGTATCAATGCCTAGATCATTAAACTTTGTTGTTATGTGTTCGTATTTGCGTTTGAAGAATATAGTACGGAGATTTCTTTTTTGGCAGATTTGAATTTTTTCTAAATTTGTTTTGCTAGTACTCCCATAGACAAGCAGACCATATGAAATTATAGGTACCACATATGCCAGGTAGAACTGTAACAGCATTTTTCGAGAAAAAGCTACCCTGCCCTTATACATGATTCCGTTAAATCGGCCTAATTTTCTGCACACAGTTTCAACATGATCTGTAAATTTGAGCTGACTATCAATGATAACACCCAAGTATTTGAAACAATTTGTAAATCCTATGTTTTCACCCGCAAGTGAAAAGTCATTATTCAAACATTGTTTACCCAATGGTAAGATTTTACATTTTGTAGAGCTTATCGACAATTTATTTCGCACACACCAGTCATATGTTTTCGGCAAATCTTTTTTAAAGTAATCATTTACCCTTACCGTTGGGAAAGAAGCAAGAATAGCACCGTCGTCCGCAAAAAAACTTAATTCTGATTTCGAAACAATTTTTTTTATGTCGTTAATGTAAAGTAAGAAAAAAAGGGGTCCAAAAACAGAGCCCTGCGGAACTCTCTACGATTTTACTTGTTGCCTAGAAGTACCGTTCGAATTAACAACAAATTGTTGTCTGTTTGTCAAATAACTTAATATCAGTTTGTTGAATTTTTCTCGAAAGCCGTACGTGCATAATTTTTCCAGAAGAAAGCAATGGTTAACTGTATCAAATGCCTTTCTTAGATCAATAAAAAGTGCCAAGCCCATATTTTTTGTTTCAATCGTTTTTCGCATGAATTCAGTAACTCGAAGGATAGCATGGATACAAGAATGTTTTTCGCGGAAACCAAACTGTTCCGCTATTATAATATTGTTTTTGTTAATGAAAACTAGCATTCTTTTATAAATTGATTTTTCAAAAGTTTTACTAAAAACTGTCAAAAGACTAATAGGTCGATAATTACTGGTATTTTCTCTGTCTCCTTCTTTCAGAAAAGCGACAATTTTGGCAATTTTACTAGCATCTGGAAAAAATGCACTATCAATACTATTATTGAAAATGTTTGCCAAGAAAACAGATATGACTGGTGAACATAATTTAATCATTTTAGTTGAAAGGTCATCATGACAACTTGAAGTTTTAGTTTTTAAGGCCCCTATTACTTTAAAAACTTCATCTTCATCCGTTTTAAAAATTACAAAATTTGATGTTTCTGTCTAATTTTTGAGAAGCAGAAACAGCAGGTGGCATAGAATTGCTCAGGTGTTTACCAATATTGACGAAGAAATCTTTAAGTAAGTTTGGTTCGATCTCCTTTTGGGCTGGTTTTTGTTTTCCACAAAAAAGATTAAAAGCTTGAATCATTTGTTTTGATGATGGACATTTTTCAATTTTCTTATCATGATAGTCTCTTTGAGCACGCCTAATTGCCATTTTTACCTTATTTCTAAAGATTCGGAAGCAATCAATATTCTCAATGAAGGTTTCTTAATCATTTTGGCATGAAGACGATCTCTCTTACACATTTTTATGATATCATTGGTGATCCAGTCTTTGTGTTTTTTCCTTAATGTTTGTTGGGGGCAAAAACGGTCGAAAACATCTAGACATAATTTTGTGAAATCGGTCAGTATGTCATCAATTGTTTCCAAATTGCAATTATTGAGATTTTTATGCAAAACAAACAAGAATCTCAAAATATTTTCATTTTTGTTCAAGATTTTCAAGTTTCGACCTATCTTAAAATTGTCACTATCGTCCGAAAAAGGTCCAATAGAGGCAACTAGCGCATAATGATCACTTAAAGAAGTATTTAAAGTAGTTACGCTCATATCCTATTTACTGATGATATGATCAATACAGGTAGAACTAGATGCGGTTTCTCTTGTTGCTTCACTATTCGATATGAAGAATCCAAAAAACCAAGATCAACTTATATTCCTCAATTAATCGAGAATTGCGCGACACGTCCAGAATATCTAATTTCATATCTCCCACAATGATTGAGTTCTGACATTGTTTTGAATTCAAATTCACGAGTAAATCCTCAAGTTGCGTTAAGAAATGCTTTGAATTGATTGATGGCGGTCGATACATCATACAAACGTTTAATTTCTGTTTACTACCTAGACTTAAAGTTAAGACAACATTCTCTAGTTCATTCGATAAATTTTTGTGCGAAAAGTCAATTGGATCTTTTATGAAAAATGCTAAACCCCCACCCCTACTTTTTTGCCGGTTAACAGAAATACCTTTTTTGGTAGCCGTCTAAGTTATAAAGTTCTAAGGGATCATTGTCACTTAACCAAGTTTCGCATAAGGCAACGACATATGATTGCCATTTTAGTGAAGCAACAAGAACTTTTAATTGGTCCTGATGGTTGCGCAGTGATTGAATATTTAAGAAAAGTATGTCCCCGTCGTTACTCATTAGAAATCCCTTTAAAAATCAAAAAGAAAGCTTTAACACGGAAAAAAAAGACGTTTTTCTGATATTCAGAAACCTTTTAATTTTCAGGTTGATCTTTTTCTTCGTTGCTGCCCATATTATCATCGCTAACAACATCACCACTGGTAGTCATTTTCTTAGGAGGTGGAGAATGGCTTTCAATGAGTTTTTCCACCAAACAGTATAGTTTATCAAGTTTCTGCGCATGTGTATCATTTTGCGATTCATGACTAACCGGTGATCTAAAAGCCGCGTTCCTTTTCATTTTCCCCGGAGTTCCCAAAAAAGAATAAGATTTTCGATATTGAACATTGTCAGAATGAGCAGCATTTTGAATAACATCAGTATATTTTTTATTGTCTGTAGTTACTGAGATATCATTTCCCATATAAATATCAACATCCTTCTTGTTATCAATTGGTTGCCATCTGCCATATGAATGCACTTTTTAATCTGGACTTGATTCTTGTAAGTAGATGTTAGTAGATTTTTGTCCCGTCTGCAGTACTTCATAATTTCCCTATCTTTTTCTGCCTATCGTTCGTTGACATGAATTTTATTTCCCGTTAAATCATCCCGAAAATCGAATCTCTTATTCCAAACAGCATCTCGCTGGTGATTATACAAAAATTTGGCAATAATCGGACGATTTCGACCCTTCCCTGGTAAATAATGACACGCGACGATGTCCTGGGGCTGAATTGAAATATTTACTGACCTTAGTATCTTCACAATTGAATGGACAGGGTGCTCACCACCATCCGACACTCCATGAAATGTTAAACACATAAATGAGGAAAACCTTTCCACTTTCGTAACTCTTTTTTCCAACTCACGATTGTCGTAAAGAAGCCTGTCATTCTCACCCCGTAATTCTGTAATTTCATTCTGTTGGGAATCGATCTGTTTTATTAACTGCTCAAGAAGTAATCTAACAGAGTCTCCATTATTCAAATCCGTCAAAGAAATTTTTTGCAGTAAGGCCATATTGAATCGTTGAAAGCGAACGTATTTTAAACGGAGATTTTATGCAGCGAACGTAAAAGAACAACGCGACTGTTTCTTAGCTCATTTCTCTCTGTCGTGATATAGTATTATGCATTATAGTTTTCAAAAACCACTTTTCCATAGGCGTTACATGGTAGTCGGAACATTTGCGGCTTTGGCCTGATACGAGCAATCTTGTTATTTTGTAGCTAAAGGGCAAAGGGCCTATTTCATCCCCCCGTTGATTGTTTTTTGTCCTTTTTTCGGTCCAAAGCTTGACCATACTTGACCGCTAAATTGACTAGCTGGTAGTGTCGGCTACCCTAAGTGGTTCATATTTGAAAAAAAATTACATTGCTTAAGATTCATGCTCTTTTTTTGTTGCACATGGTCCTTGTTCCTACGTAAAAAGAAGCAATATGTTGAATGAAACAAAATATGTCTTTCGTGCCGATTTAAACGAAAAAAAAATTTTCTTTTCAATTTAAATTCTGAAACGCGTCCAATTTTGGTCGTTCTGACAAAAGAGGCGTCGGAAAAATGACTCCTTGTATTTTCGAGCTTGTGTGAAGTTTTTTTTTGCTTGTCTGCAGTGCATTTTTTATCTCTGTATTTTTCATTTATGTCGCGGATTGGTTTAGCCGTTGATTTTTAGGCTGACAAACTATCCGTAGTGTTTACGAAGAAATGCTTCAACGGTCAAGACGTCGAGATCTGTCTGGGCAACATAGCCAAGATCACCTCGGACGCCATAGTGAACCCGACGAATGCCAAACTGAAGTTGGTTGGTGACATAGGCACCACTCTGCAGAAGGCCACTGGGAAGTTGTTGGAGGATGACCTGAATGATCTCTACGACCAGACTGGAGAGTTGCAGATGATGTCGGCCATCATCACCCCATCCCACGGACTGCCTTGCAAAAACATTATCCATTGCAATCCTCCGGGTGAGATTTTGTGAAGAATATTATGCGTTCTATTGAAGGAATATACGCTTGTTTATAAAATAGCCATGATGCAAATTGAATGATTGTCGAAGATGCTTTAATGTTCAAATGGCGACAATATGACAGTTTGACGGACATTTTCCGTTCTTTTTCAGAGGGTACGGAGAAGAACGCAGAGACGTCTTTGGTGAATGCAATCAAAAACTGCCTCAAACTAGCCGACAACAACAACTGCTCCTCCATCGCACTACCCCCTATCATTGACAGGTACTGCTTTTACTCGCAATTTCACTCATCGGGAATTGACTCGTAATCTCATTAAAAGACTAGTGTTGTTTGCTTGACCACGAGTAATATGACTTTCATACGCAATAAACTTGAACCTACAATCTAACGTTTAGTGGCTAGCGCCACATTGTTAACCCTCATTTTAACGTATGGCCACTTAATGCGATTAAGTTTACTAATTACGTTTTGTTTCAGCTCCGTAGCACCCAAAATCAAGCTTCCCGAAGTGACTCTCAGGGCAATCAACCAGTACTTCACAGCACAGAATGGATCCAAGATCAAGAAACTCGAGATGGTTTTCAGAAATCTCACTGTGGCTAAACAATTCGCAGCTGTACTCCAGCAGATGTAGATTCACAACTTCGACAGGGATGACTGTAATTTCCCATATTACACTTGCTCCAAGTAATCGGAACTCAAGGCCCCAAATAGAACCAATAAAAAAGAAGTTATCGACAGTCGCTTCAAGAAAAAAGGCCTGGAAAAACTTGTTTCTGCAGACTGTGAAATATCCCTAGTCCTCTTCATTGGAAAAGTGAGTTCAAAGAACTTAATTTTTTTACTGATATTTGGTTTTAAAGTTTGTTTCTGTTTGTCACTGTGTTCAATCGATTGTAGAGTAGATCTCATTTAATTACTCAAATATTGTTCGAAGTATGAAAAATATACTATTTTTGATTCAAAGACGAAATGAAATCAACGATATAATCGCCAGTTTTCTAGCTCAGCGCTTTACTAGCTATATTTTGCTTTCATTGGCCTAATATCTCGTTTCACGTATTCTTTGATATCGTCTACCCAATTAATTTTTTCAGTCCATCTCTTGTTTGGTTAGTGCAGTTTGTTGTTATTTTCTCTATCCACATATTTTGCAATTTCAGTAAATTCCTAGAGTTGCTTTCTTCTTGAAATTGACTGAGTTTTAGTTTGAAAGTATCTTTTTTACTTCTTATTCAGTATTATATGATTTATATTGTTTTTTGATTTGATTTCTGTTTTGATACTTATCGATAGTATTTCTCTTCATTTTGTCAAAAACTTCAGTAGATATATCAAATGTCTTTGTGATTTTCTAATGTATTAAATGCGTTAAATTCCTTGTTTCCTAACTGCTTAATTGAAGGCAACTTTCTTCTTGAAAATGATTACCAGCAATTGTTTAAGAAGAAGCGAATATTCATTTTGAAATGCATGTCGAAGAATTTAACCATATACTATTTTTTTTCCAAATTGAAAACAGTCTTTTTAAAGGTCATTGCTCAAATGTAATTTGATCAATGACCTTTAGGTTGCCGCTGTTTGAGAAAAATTGTCTGAAGGCAAGAAATGGGCACGTTTTGGGCCCTTGTTTACAAAATCTTCTCATTAAAAATCAGGACGATTCAAAACCGCCCGAAAATTGCCATGGCTGTTCAGGATGGAACGGTTTTGTACATGCACCGATGATAGTTTTTGTCACTGCGGTTTTTTATTGATACCAACTCTGATAACGAAATTTTTATTTATGTTCTCGATAAGTGGCTTTACAAACACACATGTATGTCTAGTGTCATACGATGATCATTCTCTTTTGCCTACCTAGCTTTCGCATCTTGTGTGGAAAGTCAACTTGTTAATTATAAAGCTTAATCTAGCTTTAATTTATTAGAGAGCGTCCTTCGCTGCCTGATATCTAAGAATATGTTCGTTGAAGTCACAGAGTCATGTGCAAAAACTTAAAATGAGCGTATGCTGCTCCGCTGCGGATCCATTAGTATCAGTTTTTGTCTCATGTTGACTTCAATTTTAAAGTTCTTGCCCATCGTAGAGCTCTTTTTGGCACTCTTCCGCTTGTGTTAGCGAAGTGCAATTTTTACTCTTGAGTATTCGATTAGCTAGCGTTATCAATTTGACTTTTCTGCGATAAATATCTCGTCCTGCAGTGTCACTGAATCATATGATGGCTTGTATATAGTTAATTCGAATTCAAGGTACTAGTTCTGAAGGTCCTGAGTTTTTGTTCAGATTATTGAAATTGGGAGAAACTTTGTCTTCGGGAGCTTAAATTTTTTTTCACGCAAAATCAGATAAAACACAAATAATCATTGAAATCGATCGAATATCATATCACAGTAAAGATATTTAAATGGCGAATCGAACATCGTTTAAAAGGTTTTCTCAGAGTCAAGAAAACCCGGATTGATGTTTTTGTTCTAATTTTGAACGCGTAAAGCGAGCGAGCAGGTCTTTTAAAGGCAAAAGTTTATTTTTCGGGAAAATCTTAACTTACTTAAGGAAAACTAGTTTTGGAAGCTTCATTTAGTGCTTCCTTGGCAAAAAAAATTCTTGGTAAAAAAATTAATCTTCGAAAAAAAGGAAAAAAGTTCCGAAATAAATGTTTCCTCAAGGTTTTGTTAATTCGTTTTTCTGTGTTCGATTAGGTCTCTTTCATTAACTGTCTATGTAAATGCTTGCGTTTAGTTTTCATCAAAATACGCACGAAAAAATCTACTTTTATTTGATAAATAACAGCTTTTTAAGTTTTTTTTTAAATAGGCGGAACATTCTGTGCTACTTGAACAGAAACCGGCTATCCTTGTTTCAATTTTTACTGCATAGTTTATGTCTGCCTCAGCATGAGACTTTCTAGAAATTTGAAAAAAAAGAATGAAGTTCAAAGAAGTGATGAGGCACAAACCTAAGTACAACTACCGTCCCTTATCCGGTAGTAATTGATTTTTCGACTATTTTTTGTCGACTCAATTTCTGATTTTTTTTTTCAAATGCAGGAATATTATCTGATTTGGATTTGCATCAGCTTTGTTTACAAAACATTCGTTTTATTTCAGATTTAAAACATTTTTTTTATGATAGAGAATTGTTCTGCAATTTGTAAATTCATCAACTCTGATTTAGAATTTAATTAAAATTGTTCGTTTTTGTGTTTCTATTTTTTGTTTTTTGATTGAATGGTTTCCGCTTATAAATTCAAATTCCAGGAGTATTTTGCTCATTTGGTGCAGTGGTTTCATCTAAGCGTCAGGCTAAAACGCTTGGGAGTTTGATTCCAGTCGTGACCTTATTTTCGCAAACTAAAAAATTTCGGCTATTCCAGACTTTCGTGTCTGCTTATTTTTGTCGGCTTAGTGTTTGCATAAATTAATCTTTTTTGATAGCAATTTTTTTTCTAGCATTTTTATTGCTTCTTGAAAAGTTTCTAACGGTGCTGGTAATTTCATAGAATATTTTTGGTTTTCTGAGCATTTTTTTAAAACGTTTTTTGAAGTATTTTTTAAAAAATTTTGATTATTGTTCGTGTTTACTTTTAATCAGAATCATGCTTAGCTTAACTTCTGTGAATAAAAATTTCAGCAGAATAATTACGTTTGCCAATAGTAAGCGTTATCAAATCAGAATATATATATTTTTATGAGGTTACGAAATCATTTGAATTATTTGACATCTCGGTTCATATTGAATCAGAATTTAGGGATTTATCCGCACATGTACCGTAAGAATTGGCACGTGTATATGAAAGGTAAGTCAAAGGTGAGAAGTTCGAATCCGACCAGAATTTGTTTTTTATAAACGGAAGATTTTGGTCTTGTGTCTTTCTGCTTACTTTTTGTCGGCTTAATGCCACAGCAAGGAATTTGCCTATAATTATGTTTTCTCGTAATTGGTAAGTAACTGCATTCCGAAAACGTAAGTCCCATTTTTGATATTGTTTCTTTTTGTGATCATAGATTTTTTGGAAGCTTTTTTCATTAGCGAGAGCAAGTGACTTGTAATCGGTAACTAGTTTTTCCCCGTATTCCCGTGAACAACTTTACAAACAAATCTGCCGATATGCTCAATTTTGACATGCCCAACGGCTGAAATGCTCAATTTCTCAAAAACTCAAATGAAACTACTTCTTAGTTTTAGTTCATTTTGGACAGCTGTAATTTTTTTTTTTCAAATTTAATTTCTGAAAAGAATTTTTTTTTTGCAGATTTGGAGTTGTTAATTTTGATTCAAACAGTTTGTACAATAAAATCACTTATTCTTGTAATCAGGAACTAGACTTATCCCGTGATCAACTTTTCTTACTAATTTTCGACTTGTTTTTTTTTTAATGTTAACAATTTCGAAGTTTCTTCGCACATTACCTAGAGGTAACCTCGAATCCGGCAGGACCTTGTGTTGTTCAGTATGTATGCAATTGAATTTTTTCCGCTAAAAAATGATTAGGCGGTCATTTATCTGTGAAATTTTGTCGGCTTAGCTGCTTCATCACGGAGTTTTCTTGTGCCGTAAGCAAGTATCATGCTAGTTGCAATGTTGCTTCGTGTAGTTTCATTGGGACTTCAAACTTTTCAAAGTTTTTTTTATAAAATCATTTTTTTTTGGCTCAACGTGTATGCTCAAATGTTGTCGGCTTTGTTTCCGCTTCGTAAGTTTTGTGGTGTTGCTAGTCTAAAATTGAATTGTCTTGCCTGGCTTGTTTGTCTAGAAATCCTGTTCAATAAAAACAGGTATAATGAAAATGTATAGAATTGAGTTTGTTTATTTTTGAAGAAAATTTAGAAAAAATTTCTCACTACTTTCGATATAAAAAGAAGTGTCAATGAATAGACAGCTGTCTCCTTTGTGCGTCTGCATGCTCCCCTAGTCTCTTTTTGCTTTACCTTTCTCTCTACAGCCTTCGAAAAAGTCTGGAGAGAATACATGTTCAATATTTTTGATGATTTTTCATTTTCTCAAAAACTACCCATGTTGTACCCACTTTGCGCATGTGACATTTCACAAGATTTTTTGACCCAACAAGTTATGGTCCTCCGAAAGTTCAAAGTTCTGATTTTTGGACCGCTTTTTTATGCTTGCTATTAGTAAGCGTTATCAAATTGGAATATAGACTTTTTTGCGGGACTAAATCAATTGGCAACTTGGTTCATAATGATTTCAAGTTTTCAAGCGTCTCTGGCACACCTAGTTTGGAGTTAACAAACATGCCTGGGACGCCAAAAGTCCTGGGTTCGAATCCGACAGGACCTGTTTTTTTTCAAATGGGAAAAAGTTCGTTTAAGAAAAAATGCCGGCTTTACAACGTCTGCTTATGTTTTATCGGCTTTGTTGCCATATTTTAGAATTGTTTTTTTTTCTTAAAATTTTTTTTTTTGATTTTTATAGTTGCTTTGAGTGTTCTGATGCATTCACCTCTGCTGTTTGTAATTTTACTAAACTTGATTTTGTATGTTATCTTTGTTTTTGTTTTTTGTTTGTTGTGTTTTTTATCGGCTTTGTATTTTTACTTTCATTTTTTTTCAACGGAAACATATTTCTTATGCTGACCTCTGAATCGCACAATATGCTGAAATTTATTTATTCTTCAAGTTTTTTATGATAACAATTTTTTCCAGCTTTTTTTTTCCTTTTTTTCATTTTGTTTCGACTTTTTCATGTTTGTGTTGTATCGCATGTTGTGCGAGCTCCGCTTTGCCTCTGTGTTGAAATTTGCGCTGTAGTTTGTAACTTCACCAACTCTGATTTTTTGATTCTTAACTATTTCGTAAATTTCTCAATTTTATTCGGTTAAACGGGTTTGGATTATGTTATGTCAACTTAGTCAATTTATATTCCGCAGGTTTGAAAGTTCAGATTAGCATTAAGTTTTTTTTAGCATTAAGAATTTGAAAAACTCCCCTGTATAAGTGGCTACGCACAATTTTTCATCCAATTTTATGGCCCTCGCAATAGTCATATGTTTGAACCTTTGCACGGTTTTGAATCTCTTTGACTTTGGTCGAAAATAATCTCTCAAATTGAGGTTGTGGCTTCAATGGAGATAATGGGTTGTGAGAAGCTACCGTACCGCAAATGTTTCTCACCAAGGTTTTCACACAAAAAATTATCGACCTCTGAGAAGTTAAAATTTTTCCTATATTTGAGATTTTGGATTCAATGCAAAGAACGAGTAGTGGTAAGCTCCTTTGCATGCGCAAAAACGCCCAAGATGTTTTGACCCGAAAAGTTAGGGCATTCCGAAACTTCAAAAGTTTTATTTTTTAACCGCTTTTTTTTTCGCTTGCGATTAGTGCGCGTTATCAAATTGGAATATAGACTTTTTTAAGCGTTAACAGCTTGTTTAACAGAATCATTGAATCAATTGGTGTCTTGGTTCATAATGATTTCAAATTTTCAAGCGTCTCCTGCTTACTTAGTTTGGAGGTAACAAATGCACCGGGACGCCAA